ATGCATTTGCTTTTATTTTTCGTTCAATCAATTCTTTATAATTATGAGAAAACGAAAGAAAAGTAAAATACCTCTGCTTATCTCTTGTGTTCCAAAAAAAGGCTTCACAGAGAACAAAGCGACGGTTTTGTGAAGTTGAGAGAAAAAGAAGAAAGACGAAGGTTTTTTAAGACCACGAGAAAGCCTTAAATATTTCTCTCACTGAAATACAGGAATTCTTATAGGAGTGACAGAATAGTCTAGATTTGTATAATGTACAAGAGAGAAATACACGCAGGAAAAAGTGAAGTTCCCTTTGTTCTAGCTGTATTTGTTTGCTAGGGTTCATTTGATTTTTCAGCTGTATTCAACAAATTTAAAGAAGGTAAAGTTTTTCCACCTCTGCCAATTACTGTTCCATTTTTCCATTTTTGATTTATTCTCAATCAATTTATTTCATTTTGAGGTATTTCAATATTTTAATATCGGTCGTATTACTACCCTGCTTTAATTTGGATGAATCTAAATTCATTTTCTCAAACCTCCTTTAATTACATTACACGTTTTATATTATACCACGTAAAGCTAGGGTTTTTCTTTCTGGTTATTCTCCGGAGTGGTTTTTGATCTAGGGTTCGATCTTTCTCTATTGCCATGTAATTTCAGTTCTTTTGTTTGTATGTGTGGTTGTAATCAAGAGTGTTTAAGAGGACATTAACACGGTGCCATATAAACTTTTATTTCTTTTAGCCGTTTAAAATTAGATTGGAGCTTATTGCAATTAATACGAATAATCTTTGTTTCCAATTCAACTTTATTTATAGATTTCCCTTGTGTCAATTTGAGGTTTTTTCTGGGGATTTTGACTTTATTTGTTATTTTTCACCTAAGCGCAAAGTATTCTTGTCCGGCACTCATTGATGGCTTCGAGTACGCCCTCTTCCGATCGGGTCTCGAAAAAATGCAAGCCGGTTAAATTAGTGATTTATTATGTTAGGCATGTTGTGTGATGTCTTTCCTTTGATAAGGAATACTTAATTTGGTTTGAAACTCGTTGTGGGATGAGTGTTTATTATTATATCAAATGCTCAGAGCTTTTGTTTGGGCCAAGTCCTCTCAGATTATTATCAGTTTGCAATGATTTGTAATTGCACAGAAACCATCTCTTTCACACACGAGTGGAAGATGGATCATTTTTCTGAAGATTCTTTCTCAGTGTGAAATCTAAGTGGTTTATATTATTTTGAGGATATAACTGGTAGGGATGAATGTGAAATAAAAGCTGAATTGGAGAAGTCAGGTCTAAAAAGGCCAAGTTCAAGCAACAGAAAGTAGACGGCAGGGGCGGGCGATGTGGGTGATGTGAAGGCGAGCAGGGTGGAGCACTGGCAGGCCGAAGGGGGAGGAAGACGAAGATTCTGTGGGCGTATATAACCCAGAGGTATGCGGTTCCAGATCTATCGGAAAAAAAGAAAGGTGACGGATGAGACGTGGATGATTGGTGATACGAAATTTGCCTAGATCCTATCTCTAATCATGATTTGGCTACCTCCTTCCTTGATCTTGAGATTTAAAATGAATGGAAAGGAATAAAAAAATATAAAAAAAACATTTGACTATGAAAGAATTGTGGCTGATTTTTATTAACAAATCAACCGGTTTTGGAGGTAACAACCCTGTTTCCATCCCACTATAATGTTAAATCCCGAGTAAGGGTGTAAGTTGTTTCTTAATATTTTCACATAGAAGATTAGTAATGAGTTTGTAAAGCAGAATAATAAAAATTGCTAAAAAATAGCAATTATGTATATATTTAGTTTTACTTGGCCCACTTGTATAGTTAAGATAAGTTATACGTCAATACAATATGAATTAGCTGTATGTTTGTAATCTCACGCCCACATCCGAACTTATAATATAGGAGATTAAGGAGTTTACCTTCAACACAATTCATTGAGTTTTGCCACACACATCAGGACTAGATAAATTTAATTTTCCCGCTTTTGCTTGGGGCTTGAAAAAAACATTGAAAATCTGAAAGAAAAAAATGGTATCAAATAAATTATGTCGAAGATTGATCGTAGAGGTATTAATCTAGGTTTGGTTCGTTTTGGAGATAGAATGAGGCTTAATGAAATTTCAAAGCTTTGAGATTTACATTGTCTCATGTTTAATATGAATGGAAAGGTATGCATTTTACTTCCAGAATTCATTGAATATGAATGAAAATTTTTGCATCTTTACTGTGCGCGAGCTTTCAGTTTAACATCAAATTCTCCATTTTTTTCTAAATAAAAAAAAAATGAAGTAGCTTAAGCATAACATGTAGCTTGACTTCTGTGCCAGTCGCTCTTGTCTACGTTTGAAACAAGTGAAAACTACATAAGGAGACCTTAGATGGAAAGGAAAAAGGCTCAGAAAGCCAAATAGCTCTCTGCAATCCCATAGTCAGAATTAGTTTTCTCTAGTGAGCCTTTGTTAACTTGCTTCTCAAAACCTCACTAATCGCTTTCTTCATGGAGTACTTTCAGATGTCAGCGTGTCTCTCTTTCTTGCGCAGTTGGATAGCAGTCAGCAGCTTGAACTCGATACTCGAGCTCATGTTTTGGTTCCGTACCCTTTTATAATGTAGCTGACAGATCCAGGGCAATGTTCAAATTGGGTTTAGAGGTAAGCCGGTTTTATTTGTGTCGATTTCTTTTGTAAAAAATGCCCTCATATTTTTAGGTGAAAGATGAATTTGTCTCTCCAAAAGATGTTATCCGATGTTATGGCTAGTGCGATTAGAAAATTGAAAAAGAGGCAACAGTTTCTCCCTGATTTTTTCACACCACAGAGGCCTATTCTTCATTCTTCGATTTGAAAAAATTGTTTTGTGAAGGGCCTCGGTGAGATCAACAAATATGAGGTGATAGATTTGTTGGTTCAAGAGGACCTCTCCCACCCATCCATGCTTTGGTTCAGTTCTGAATTACGCTGTACTATTCTTTGTCAGAAGGGAAGATTGGTTGATGCGAATGGGAGGACTTGAAGTTGCATCTCGTTCGGTCTGATGATTTCAATATCCACAGTTCGAACTTGTGGAAGTGTTGCAAAAAACGATTAGTTTAATTTAACTTCTTTAGCCTCAATAAAAAAATCGGTCACTTTGCTATCTCCCTCTTATCGTGTTCTAGAGAGTCGAACTTAGTTGAAGAGAGCACACAGTTACAAGATGGGTCCAGAAACGAAAGTCGTTAAATCAACATTATCACTATGAAAATGGAGCCAAAGTAAAACTGTGTCTAAAAAGATATTATGTTGTTACTTCGGCATATATTTCAAATAGTAAGCTTTTGTAATTTTTGTTGTCTTGATGATATATTTTTAAAAGCTTTAGCCTTGTTGATGAGCTATAGACTTCTTATGTTGTTGTTATTGTGCCAATTGAATCATTTGGACATTTTTGGTTGTTGGTATGAAAGGACCAAAAAATCTCGTATTTATTTTGTTTTTTTTGTTTTTTTTTTTCTAGTTCATGTTTGTACTTGAAATGATATGCCAAGTTCTAACGTTCCGTTTTCAGTGTGTGTTAAGCGCTTAACAGTATAACGCCTGGACGAAGGAACTTCTCTTTTCAACTGATGAGGTTATATATCCGGTTTATGGAGGAAGACTTAAAAAATGTGGACACTAGCACTTTGTTTATATTTTTTTTTTTTTTTTTTTTTTTTGTCATAGTTGTAACTGAAATGAGTCAACGTCTTTCATGTGTAATGCGCTTAACATATACGTGGGACGAAGGAATCTCTTTCAAGCTGTTAGGGTTTATCCGTTTATGGAGGACTTAAAAAATTTTGAAACCTTTGTTTATATGATAGGAAGTATTAAGAAATAAAAGTTGTGTATTGCCATTTATTTCTTATGACAGTAATTTCTCAAATGCACCATATTTTGAAATTTATTTGAAGCATTTGCAAGTAGAATAATGTTTCTTTTGAAAGAGTAAATTATTTCAGTCTCAACATAGGAATTAGGAAACGTTTCTTATGTGTTTATTATAGTTCTGTGTTTTTATGCTAGTGGATATTTATGTTAGAATTTTACATGGTTAAACTTTTTATAATCAAATTCTAAACTTACAGTTAACAATAATACCTAAATTTTAAGGGCATGAATCTGGGTTTCTGTTACTGTCTTTCTGGGATAATAATCTCTTCTTTCATCCGCCTCTGCATTTGCACATGTATATGAATAATGTCATGTTCTCATAGATCATAGGAAATTAAATATGATTCTGCTCTCTTTTTCTCTTCTTTCGTTGCTAATCCGAAAATGTATTATTTCAAAAGATGCATGTGGGATGGGAAGCATGCAACTGTAGGCATACCAATCTTAAATAAGCTGCAGGAGAATCCTAGGGAGAGCTAATTAATCATCAAGTTTAATGAAGGTACTTATTTTATTATATGCAATGTTGCATGTCATTTGGTATGGGAACATCTTTTCTCCTTCCTAGACATGATTTGTAGCAATAAGTTTTCTATTCTCAATGGAAAAAAAAAAAAAAAAAACAGTTTCTTATTCTCAATGAAAAAAAAAAAAAAAAAACACCTGTGAGCATCTTTCTTTTTATTGTTAACTTGTAGCCCCCCTCTTGTTTGGCATCTGCATATTAATATAAAATCAATGTCTGGTTAAGCATAACAATCGGGACTGGAAAAAAAAAAAAAAAAACACCTGTGAGCATCTTCTTTTTTATTGTAACTTGTAGCCCCCTCTTGTTGGCATCTGCATATTATATAAAATCAATGTCTGGTTAAGCATACATCGGGACTGTTCACTGCTAGTTATTTTAGTAACATTTAGCTTTTTGAGTAATTTTTCATAAAATGCTAAAAGCTACAAATTATATGCGTTAACCTTTTTATAAAAGGTTACCTTTAATCTTTAATAGTTAGTCAAAAGCAGTTATTTGATAAAAATAATTGTTTCATTGATTCACTAGTGATGTCAAGCCAATTTACAGACAAAAATATATGTAGAAGAAGAAAAGGACTGTCATTGGTAACTTTCTAATTACAATATAAATTTTTTTTCTTTTTTTTTTTTTAAGACAGACTGGTAGAAGAAACACATTACCTGGAAACAACATAATATACATCCAAACCAATCTTTCAAAGATAAGAAACCAAAATTTAAGTGCATCTGTCAAACATATACCAGTCCTAAACAGAAATATACCAAAACCATACAAACTAAGCATTCATTCTTCGCTTCATCTAGAGTTGGATCCTACTGGGTTGTGCTTTGGTCATTCTTGCTTCACCATAAGCTTCATCGTTATCGATCCGGCGATTGTTCCTGAAGGCTGCACAACCAATCACATACACAATCACTAGAATGATTAATATAATTATGTTTATAACTGACACTTTTCTCCAACTCTTCTTCAGGCTGCCTAGCACTCCAGCTTTGCAAGAGTTGCAAGAATAGCAGAGTTGCTCTTGATCATTGTTCCACAAGTTGCAGTCTGAATTATAAAGAGCAACTCCTCCTGCTGATGTCCATACAGTTTCATTCACATAGGTGTATCCACAATCTGTAGGCGGCTTGCAACAACCGGACTGCACAAAACAAAAAAGCTTTACCGATCAGATGTGATCTAGTTGGTTCTCTCATATTCTTTAAAGATAAGAGAAATCATAAGTTTCAGATTCTCAGATTTCGCCAATTTAGTGAATGTTATTCAGATAGAAAAACTATATCTATGGGGTAACTTATAATATTATTCTGACTCATCTTTCGTCCAGCGAATAAGAAGAATGTGAAAACTTTAAAACAGCTAAACCCCAATTTGAAAACAGTTGAAAAATTATTGAGATCATACATGTGGGCATTGATATTACCATACATGTAAAGAGTGATTTATAGAAATTGGAAGTTTAATATCCTAGTTTCTTTGTTTGGAAGCAAAATCTATGGTTAGTGGCATTTTGATTTGATGATGATGATGATGATTATTTTATGTGGGTCCTAATAATTTGATCATTTTGAGCAAGTGAAGTCCTATCCCCTGTCTATCTCCCCATCCACACCAATCACTTTAGCAGTTAGGCCACACCACACCTTGGCATTTGAATGCTGTCTATTTGAATTTATAGGCAAAGCTCTAATCTCTACCATAATCAACGCAAAGACTACAAACCAACTTTTGTTCTATAAAAATGGATTTTACCAAAATTTCAATCAAATACATAAAATTATTGACTTCATTTAATCTAATGAACGTGCAATTTATACTCCCTCCTCTTATTTTATATCTCGTTTAAAAGCTTTCTATGATTATTAATAAAACAATTAAATCATATAAATTATAATATATTACTTTTTAATTTGATTTTTTTAATTTCAATCTATCATTAAAAATAATAAAGAGAAAGAGGGAGAAAATGAGGTAGATTTTGGAAAATTTTAAAAAATAGTTATTGTATTTAATAAAGCTAATGGTAAAATTGAAAAAAAAAATTAATTAATACTCCCTAATCTTCTCAAAACCAAAAATTCTGGACAAAATAACTATTGAAAACAATAGATAAATGTGGAGAGATAGAGTAAATTTATAAGTAAACTCAGTCTATTACGTAATAATTCATTATGATTTATTCAATGATACTAGTTTATGAGCATGGAAGATAGCAATGGGTACAAACAAAATCTGCAGCTATATATTGTGTTTGGTATCCGAGAAAAGTGAAGAAACTAATGGAAACTTTTATAAAAGGTAGGATTCCAAGTCTTTCTCTCATTAAAGAAATGTACACATGCAACCAGACAAAAGATAATAGGGATTGAATGTATATTCTATTCTGTATTCTACTTGAAAGGAGATCCTAAAGGATAGAGCAAGAAAAGCAAACCAACCACTTCCACATTCATAAACAGAACATTCTCAACAATTTGGACATTGCAGGTAGAAAGAAGACAGTGACAAGTGCATATCAGTAATGATTTTCCTAATCTTAAATTAAATAAATTAATTTGCATAAAAAGCTCTTCTTCCCATATCAAAACCTGTTCCCTGAGACCGTTTATTATTATCATATGAATAAAATCTTGGGTTTAGCACCTAGCAAATGCAGCCACCGACCAGTTTGGACCACTAATGAACAAATCAAATAGTGATTGATGAAAGAAAAAAAGAAATTAATTAAGAATTTTGAATAATACCAAACGAAGGAATCCTAGCTAGTAACACAATTATTCATATGCTTTTATTTTATTTTATTTATTTATTCATTATTATTTTTGGTTGAGATTGACAGATATTTATTTATATGGTTAAAAATTAAAAAATATGTTATTATTATTTTTTAAAAAAAAATAATCCCATAAATTGTACCCCCTACAGAAAAAAAAAGAAAAAAAATCCTTATAATTATTATATAATAAAGTTAATCTCATTTCTATGCAACGGTGGGTTATGGTAAATTATAAAAGAAAGTGCCAATTTTCAAGCCTAAGAAACCGCATGGCCAGGGTGGCCATCCTGGCTTCTCACATGGCACCTAGTGATGATTTGTGTCATTTTACGTAATATTATATTTACGGTGGAAATTAAACTTTAAATATTAGAATAAAAAAACAAGAGCAATATTTTTAAAAGCATAATTAAAATTAAATTTTTATAATTTGAATGGCCATAACCCTCAAATTTATCATGTAGCTTGGCTTCTCGTTATATTATATTTTATATTACCAAATAAGGAGAGAGTAAAAAACAATAATGAAAATTTAAAACAAAATTTAATAACTTTTTTCTTAACAGAGAAGAACTGACTCGGACTCGGACTCGAATTTGAATCACTTGTAATAAAAATATGAATAATTATGATTTCCATTTAAATATTTAATTCAAAAGAAAAATCCAAATAATTAATATTCTGATTAATCCTTGACATAAATTCAATATTTTTCAAGCAACATACTGCATTAGAAAGCACAAAAAAATTCCTAGAAGATCAACAATATTCAGACCTATCCTTTCTTCAGCTTTGTCCATAAATAATTTTAAAATAGAAAGGGAATTTTTCAATCTATTAATCAAGGTAGAAAGATATTAAATATAAAACATAAAACTATATTTTTCAAGAACAAAAACAAAAACAAATCTATATATATGTATATAAAATAAAATAAAAAGCAAGAAAGAAAATAATAATATGAATGAATTAAGATACCTGAATAGGACTAAGCTTCCTTTGATAAAACATATCAGCAGTTTCAGGCACACCATTAACAGTAACTCCCATCTTAGCACAAACCTTAGAATCTCTAATACACGAGCTAATCTTACCCCAATAACTATCACTCGCCACGCGCTCTTCTAACCAACCGGAATAATCCTGCAAATAGTAATCCAAATAAGCTCTGTTCATAACCGGCCGGCCAGACCCTTTATCGGTGACTGCATAAGCAAAGATAATAAACCCTATAAGCGCGGCGATGATGAAGAACATAACAAAGAGATATAACCACATCAAGAAAGTGTTTCTATAACACGCGCCGGCGAACCCGGCTAAAGAGACGACCATGATAGAAACACCAATGATTATTAATGGCCACTGCAAGAACTTTAAGCAGTCTGTGTTGTTGGCTCTGCTGCTTAGCCATATTCCTCCTCCTAAAATTGCTATTGATAATAAGAAAGTTATGAAGTTTAGTAATCCTATCAAGTGATTGCTACTTCTCATCTTCTTTGCGTAGTTTCAACTGGGTTTTCACTTTCTTTTCTTTTCTTTCTTCGTTTTCTTTATGGGTAGTTATGGGTTTTTTGTTTGCAGAGAGAGAGAGAGAGAGAGAGAGAGAGCAATAATGACAGTGGGGGTTTGTTAGATGCAGGTGGTGATACTTAATGAGTAATGTATAAACAGTGCGCTTTGAAATCTGAAACGAACCATACTTGTATATCTAGATTTGGTTACTGATTCAAACCGAACCGGAATCTAAACCAAAATGAAAATTAGTTGATTTTTCTTATCAATTTTTGTTTTTAAAATCAATATTTTATTTTTACAACTGATTCTAAATTAGCTCTATCTAACTCTCCTTTTTTTGGTTATTTATATATTTTATTATGTTATAAAATCAAATATTATACCTTATTTGTTTTGAAGTGACCTAATTCTCGCAAAATTTACTTATTAGAAACTACACTTTGAACGAATTTATTTAATAAACTAAAAAAAAGTAAGAGTACATGTAAATTAGAAAGTAAGACAATCTTAACTTGAAGTTTACTGGATTAGTGTGGAGAAAAAATTCATCAACTTTATGTTTACGGTCAATTCAGACCAATTGAACCGATTAACTGACTGATCAATTGAACCGGTTGGATTTAGCTATTTGAATTTTAGAAGAGCTCACTTAAATTATACTATATAAAAGACAAGTGTTCGTGAAGAGATTGGCTGCATGACTTTCTGCGGGTCTAAAGGGTAATTGATAATAGCTCATGAATTTTGGATTTATTTGCAAACTTCTCTAACTTAATAATGTTTGCTTCACTGTACTTGCCAAAAAATTTGATATTACCTCTATTCTCAAACTGGAAAAAGACACGAACGACAAAACTGGAAAAAGGATATATATACTTTTTTCAGAAAAATATCAACAATTATTGTATTTATACAGTTATTAAATAAATTTAAAAATGAAATTAAAAATAGAATTTGAGGGTTTTTAAAAGTTTATTTACTAGTAATATTATTGCTAGAGTTATTATTAAAAAAATATTTACGTATATTATTTGTTAACAACTGTTGATTAGGATTTAGTTATTTATGTCAAAAAAAAAAAAAAAAATTGAGGTTTAAAAGTTTATTTAACTAGTTAATATTAATTGCTAGAGTTTATTATTAAAAATATTACGTATATTTATTTGTTAACAATGTTGATTAAGGATTATGTATTTATGTCCAAAAAAAAAAAAAAAAAGGATTTAGTTTATGAAATAGTATTAAAAAAAAAAAAAAAAAAGGATTTAGTTATTGAAATTAGTATTTAAAAAATAATTTTTTAAATTTATAAATTCATTTAAGTGGTATGCTTTTATACTTTGTTTGTAAAAATTTAAATTTGATAGATGATATTCAAGAATATACCTAATTAAATGATGTCAAAAAGTAATTTTAAGATATTTTTAAAATGAAATTTTAAATTTTCTTTCTCAAAAATTTATTTAATTTAATACCAAACATACCCTATTTCGATGCTATTGTTGAACAAATTAATATGACATTTGAAAAGACAAAAACGGGAACGTGGCACTGTTATATTATATGCCATGGACCCATTTGCAAATTAAGAGTTGTGAATGTGGATGCCCATGCAAATGTGATCTTTGAATGTGTGAGAAGTTGATTGGCCCTATGCTTGGGTTCAAATATTTAATTAAAACACTTTCAACAATAACTACTGCAAATTTTAAAACTATGTTCCAGTTATGTATAAAACATTTTCAAGCAGAGAGATAAATATTCAAATGCCAATTTGTCATGGACACATTTGTAATTTTCTTTTTATCAAGGATATTATAAATGCAAAAATAAGTAAAACCAATTTTCAGCATATTGCATGTCCAATATAAGAGGCACAATTATAATTACAAATAAAGAACATAAATTACAAATTAATCCTATAAAGTGTAAAAATTAAGGACTCTCGTGCCAATATGGTCTTCAAACATGTCGAGAAATGATTGGCTTGCTTCTTTGTTTTCTTTTTCCTTTTTTATTTTTTTATTTTTCCAAATAGTATGAAAGGTTATTTTTATATATGCTTGCTCAATTTTTCTGCGTGACATTTTCTAAAAAAAATAAAAAATAAAAAATAAAAAATAAAAGAACAAGACGGTCCAGAATTCAGGTTGCTTGGAGAGGTTATATGCTATTCTTTGACTTTCTGTTATTTGAATATATTAAACGGTTGGCATGTGGTGGATGAGTGTGATTGGAAGATCCAGAGTTAAAGCCAAAATATAAGTTCTTTTTCATTTTTTTCTTAATTCTTAATCATAGAGATTAAGAGATTTTTACGCTATTGCTTTCATGGTTTCTTATTATCTTGCTTCAGCTTGCAATGCAATTTATTTTTATTTATTTATTTGCTTACTTTTAAACGCAAAGCAAAGAGTGGAAGATTCATCTTTACTTCCTTTTTTATGGAGTTTTTATTATATTACTAGTTAGGGGAAAGTTAAAATCTCAATGTTCAACCATACTTCAATTATGAAGTAGACAATGGATTTCATGTTAAAATTTTTTTTTAAAAAAAAAAAAAAAAGTTTCCCAATATTACTCATGTGATGGACGCGTGTGGATTACTGTAAATTTTGAAATATTTATATTCGAATTCATTTAAATATTTTTATCAAAATTAATTAATAACTTATTTTTTATTACTAATATACATCTCAAACCTCTTTACACTACCACTGTAAAATTTAAATTCGTTGAATCTAATTAACCTATTTGAATATTTTATTTAATATTAATGGATAGAATAAATATGCACCACCAAACTCATATAATATAATTTAACATGATGTGGGTACCTACACCTAAATCTCAGCCTTATTCCAACTCACTGTAGATAAAAATTTTACTGCTCATATTGATTTCAGGCTTATTTATAACTATCTGAATTTACAATAAATAAATCTGAACAAATAAATACTGGCCCATGTTCTGCCATACTTATGACTAGAAGTGACCATTTTCTAATTCTTGGAATAACAACCGTTGGTTTGAAATAGGTGAGAACTAGAACCGTTTGAAATCGGAATCCATGGGAATCTGAATTAAAATTGGAAGGTCGCAGTCTAATTTTGATTTTAACTTTTTTAAATTCGTGAATCAATGACCATGACGAATAGTTTTCAGAAGTTTTTAAAATTTTTATTGAACTAGCTTAAATTAATGGTTCTAAAAATTTTAAATTTCTTTATATAAAGATTAGAATCGACTGTTCAAACTGATTGTAATAAATCTTTTTTCAAAAAAATTTATTAAAAACTCCAAATTAACCCTTCCAAAAATATCTTATACTTTTTAAATTTTAAAATTTTGCGAACCTGCCAAAAACCAGCTGGAGAATCTTCCAGAACTGTACTAATCAAAATTATTAAAAAACTGACCAATATTACAAACCACCAATAAAACCATCAATTTTCAATTTAATTTCAATTCCATATTTTCTGCAACGGAAAGCATAGATACTCCTATTTATGACAATGAACTTGCAACGAGTACCGAGCAACCACTATCCATATCACTAAGTAATATAGAATGTTAAAAAATTTATAAGAAGAGGGAAAATATTTAATTATTGATTTGGATTATGGGGTGAGGAAAGCAAAGTAAATGGGCATGAGAATGGAGCAAGCATGGGCCATGAATGTAGTACAGTGCACAATAACTATTTAACAAACAAAATCCGAATAGGTACCTAAATAAAAAAGAATATTTACAGAATTAATCACCGTAAATTAAATTATAAATTTCATCCTTTACAATATATTTTTTTTTTTCCAGTTATATCGTGATAAGTATTAAAAAAAAAAAAAAAAAAAAAAAAAAAATATAATTTTTTTTTTTTTTCCAGTTCATATCGTGATAAGATTAAAAAAAAAAAAAAAAAAAAAAAAAAAAAAAAAAAAAAAAAAAAAGAAAGGAAAACAAACTGGATAACTCTGCAAAATAAACAAACCCCTTTCATTGATTTGACTATCTACTTGTAATCTGTCCACCGCCCATCCCATTTCAAGCATGAGAAATTGCCATGTTCGACAAAAAGAAGCTCACCCAAAATATCTCTTCAAAAATACACTTTTTAAAAATTTTCTTTTCTTAATTTTCTTGAAGGTATCATAAGTCAAGATAATAGCACCGATTTATTGTATCGTGTGGACTTTTAGCTATACGCAAACACACTGAAACCTCACTCGCTTTCTCACTACATCAGCATATTTTACATATTTTAATAATATAAACATTAATTATTATGTGTAAAGTTACAATATAACAATTACCAATATATTTTTTAATTTTCATGAGTAAAATAAAAATTATCATTTTTTTTTCTAAAAATCAAGTAGTATTAAATAAAAAACATTCAATAATACTAACGTAAATCTTTTTCTTTCGTTAAGAATCGACGTAGAAGATTACCATGATTTATGGTGAAAATTAAGAAAATTTCGACAGTATAATTTTATTAAAGTTATAAACTTAATAATAATTAATAGCGATTAAATATATTACAACATAAATTAGTTTACTTTACATATATACATGTAAAAAGAAAACCTTTGACTCTATTTGTACAAAATTGATTTTGAAATATTTGGAAGCATGAAATTGGATGGTTTGGACCCAGCCTTTGCCCTTTGGGCATGAGAATACGTTTTTAGGAAATTAAGCCCATAAATAACAGATTTTATTTCCACATCATTTCTAACTTGGACCTTAGTTTTCATTTCGGCCCATCAGACTAAGTCGTGGTATTCGTATTTCTTTTTTATTCTTCCATTTTTTTTTTTTTCCTGAATACGAGAATTCAGCTCTCAACTTTCTATCTTTATCTTTGACCTCGTAACATTCTAAATTCTAAATGTTATCGCTCGACCCATTATATATTTTAATTTATAAATTTTTATAATATTACATATATTTTCATATTGATAATATTGATTTTTAAGGCTTTTGGTATTTATATGTAAAATATTTATTTAATGTGCAATTAGCATAATTTTTAAAATAATAATTTTATAATAATTTTAAATTTTTTAATTATTAAATGAATTGTTTAATAATATAATTTAATTTAAATTATTCATTAAAATAATTAAAATTAAAGTATTTAATAGATATAATTTTTAATAATAAAAAAAGTTTGAATAAAGTTTGAAGAATCAAACTAAAAGTTTTTTTTCTTTTTTTTTTTTTTTTTTTTGAGGCAAAAAAAATGAGACTATATGGTGTGCTATTTTTTTTTTTTTTTTTTTTTTTTGAGGCAAAAAAATGAGACTATTAGGTGTGCTAGTCATTGCTTCGTTAGCTCGAGCCACATGTCAGGTATTGACGTTCGATTTAAGACACTCCATAGGGTGTACAACCCCTTGAACACTTATGGGAGATGCTGCTTGTTTCCTGCAGGATCGTAGCATGCAGTTCTTAACCCACAACAGTAGAATTTGACTTAAGGCAGCCCGCAAAGTGGACCGTGACTTTTAGGAGCAGAATCAATATTTAAACATAATTAGTTATAAGATATTGTTGTAAAGAATCGAATCTGAATAAGCAAGCGGATGATCAAGCTAAAAGTTAGAATGTATACTATTTATTAATCATTAACTAAATTAATTTTCAAAAATTATATATTATAATATATGTACCTTTTTAAAATTATAATAATCGTAGGGCCCGACAAATCAAGATCTATGTGGCCCAATAACTAGAGGCAGATATATGTGCTCCTATGATTCTGTCCATTTCTTAGTTCTTTATTTAGCAGGGCAGGTAGAAATTAAGCATCTAACATTAAAATAATAACAGGTAACGCTCCTCTGATTTCAAAAACTATTTGACTCCTTTGTCATTTCCTTTTTTAAACTAAAAGAATTATAGTTTCGTGAGAGGAATTGAAAATTCAATTCTCTTAATTAATCATGCTTTTTACTGTTACGGTAATTATTCTTCTGAAATAATGTTTGCTTGTAGGACTACATGATAAAATTTTTGTCTACTTGGAGAGGTATTGCTAAATATGGATAATAAGAGCAAATTGTCACGAATTAAATTATTTTTTTTGTTAATAAACATAATTTATTATTTGAGGATGGTAAATAAAAAATTTTTAGTTATTTTTCGATTGCTCCTTTCTCTCAGAGTCATAGTAAACCTCTGTTTGACTATAATTTTTTACGTAGCATTTAGTGTTTTAACTCTATTTCTACAATCTATATTGTTTATTGAAAGCGTTTTAAATCTATCTCCATTATCTATATTGTCTTGGCTATGTTAGGCAACAACTGTTTAGAATAGTATTTAGTGTTTTGATTATATTAAAATACCGTTTTAATTAATTATTGTATTCGGTAATGTTATATTTATTTTAAAGTTTAGAGTTTGAGGTAATGTTTCATGAAACGTTATCCTCGTTAAGGTTTAGCGTATTATAAATTTTTTATGATGCCTATACCCATAAATTATCTTTGCCTTATTCTCTACAACCTTACCCTTTTTGTCTTTTTATTTAAATAGCTAATAAAACATTTATTTTTATGAACACTTCTATCTTAAACTGCTATATAAACAACCACATACTAACAACTAATATCTAATTAGCTAACAACTAGTAAAATAGCTGCTAACATCTACTATAAGAACTAGAATTGCTGAGCAAGCCCTTTATAATAGTGTTTAGAGTTAGAATAGTGTTTGCAGTAGCGTGTAGAGATTGAGTTTGAGGGAGTAAATGATGAAATGTTATTAAAAGCTTTTTTTTTTTTTTTTTGAAAATGCAAATACTTTATATATTAACAGAATCAAAGTTAAAAACATCATAAATAATATTTGAAGAGATAGCACCCTATTCAAAAAAATCAGACATAAATGTAATTTTTCAATATAATTCAATTTCCACCCATATTTTATTTTTAAAAATAAAAAATTTGGACTGCAATTTGTTATATCTATGAATTTTTGAGGAAAAACTATCTAATTCTAAAGAATTTGAAGGATATATTTTATAATATTGCAATCTCTATAGTCTTTTCAACACAAATTATAGATTTATAAAGTTTATTTTTTATAATGCATAAAAATATGCATATTTATTTATTATAATTTCAGAGCGAAAAGATATTAATATTTGATTAGAAAAGATTTGCAATTGAGTGTCTGAATTTTAAAAAAAAAATTACAATAAAGTGTATAATGCTGACTTGGCAGCCGGAATAATGATATAAGCAAAATGGATCCCACTTTTTACTTGGTGAGTTGCCCACATGGACAAAGTTTTACATCAGAACCTTTCTTCCTCATCCTCTTTCTCCTTACCTAGCCGGATAACTTAATCAGTTCCACCATCACCACTGTCATCCAAGGCATACTGTTGCTTTTTGGTGCATGCTGTGTTTCTTTCATTACTGGAAATGCCACATGACATAAACTTCATTTTTCGCTTTTAGTTATATATAATTCAATCCATTAAGGGTCTCTTTGGTAATTTTAGCGGTTCCAGTAGATGTTAATTATTATAGTAGCTGTTATCGGTTAGATATTAGCTATTACTGATTAGTTGTTTATATAGCGGTTTAAAATAAAAATATTTATAAAAATAAGTGTTTAATTAGATGTTTAATATAAAAAGACATAAAAGGTTAAGGTCATAGAAAACAAAGAAAAAACAAGTGATGGGTACTGACATCATAAAAAATTTATAAAACAATAAATGTTAATGAGGATAATGTTTCATAAAACACTACCTCAAACTTTAAACATTAGGATAAATTAAAAGATGCAATTCTATTTGGTTCTATGGTTATATATTTGTGCCGTGCATAGATAATTTAATAAATATTTATTTTTAATATTTAATTAAAATTGTTATATCTCAATTTTTATTAAATTGATTTGAAGATAAATAACTTTATAATTCTCAATGTTTAAATTTAATTTAATAAATATAGTTAAAAATTTTATGAGTTGTAATTATGATAATAAACCATTTTTGAAAAATATATAATAATATAAAAAATTTATGAAGTTGTAATTATGATAATAAACCATTTTGAAAAATATAAATAATAATAAATAATATAATAATAATAATAATAATAATAATAATAATGTTAGAAATAATATTATAATTTTAATTTTATTATTTTATATAAGTCAAATAAAATTTATGATTTTGAAAATGAACTATTTTTGTGCTAATTAAATTTATTAATCTTTTATTTAGTTAAATGATTATTATTTTTTACTAATTATTTGATTATTAATGTCTTAGCATTTATGTTTTGCCATTTATTTAGAAAATTAAAGCATTTTGGAATCCAACGTGATGTAAGACTTAACTTTTCTAAACCTCCAATGGCATTACAAAGCAATTCCAACTTGGCACATTCTAGAGAAAAATATGCATGCTATATATAATATATTATATATATATATTATATATATATTAAATAACTAAATTAAACCAAACCAAAAACACTAATTCAAACGAAACCAATATAGTAATACATTGGATGATCAAATCAAAACAAACTAGAAGACTAATTCAAAATTTAAATCAAACCACATCAAACCAATATATTAGTATATTAAATAATCAAATCAAACCATACGTTAAAGATACATTAAAGATAGGAAACAATTGCTATTTGAGAGTAAACATTTGTTACAAAGCAATACATTCATAAATCAAGCCCATATATTAATACATTAAATAATCAAATCAAATCATGCCAACTGGAAGCCTGATTGAAGGAATATGCCACATGTCAAATTAAAATAACAAATGGATATGTCATATGTCAACTTTCTAAGAAAAAAATATTTGCTATATATAATATATATATATATATATATATATATATATTGATTTTGGAATTTAAAGAGGATTTGGTGCGATACATTCATGCTTTGTTTGGATGGGGAAAGGATGTAAAATGAGGGAGTAAAATGATATTATTTATTTTCCTTCTTATTTTACACTCTTTGTTTAGTTTGAAGGAAAAATATATTTTTATTGTTTTATTTTCCTCCCATTTTATAGAGTAAATCAGAGGAAGTAAAATAAAGAATATTTTGCATCCACTCACAATTTCATTCATTCCCAAACAAGGTATTTTGCAAACTCCAATAAATTTTCATTTATTACATCCGTACCATAATGTTGAGAAAATAGTTTGTCGCATTTATGGTTTTAAGGAGTAATAAATATTTTTTCCATATTTACACTTTGTATATGACAAAAAATTATTACTTTAATTTAATGAGTTTTTTAGAGAATTAATATTAAATTAAAGATAATATAGTTAATTAGATAATATAGTTAATTTATTCAATAATTTATTTTATAACTTATATAAATTTAATTTATATTAAGAAATGTAAAAATTTTATTAAATTAAAGATAATATAGTTAATTTATTCAATAATTTATTATAACTTATATAAATTTAATTATTATATTAAGAAATGTAAAATTTTAAATGTGATAAATATATAAATACAGATAATACAATTTTACACCTCTCTTTATTTTATATCCAACCAAACGAACTCTTAGAACGTTAAAAATGGCTCTGAATGTTTGTTTCTTGAGCTTATTTGGCGCGAGACCGAATTAATCGGATCCATAGCCATTAGATACGGAGTGATTAAAAAAAAAACTTCCTTCCCGGGACATTTTGCCAACTCTACCCTTTTTTCTTTTAAGTATACACCAACTCTACTTTTTATTGGAAAAACGGGCAGATGTCCCATCCTTCCACGCTCCAGAAAATAAACTAATAATAACAAAATAAAATAATAATTAAATTAAGAAATGCCAAAAACAAAAGGCAGCTTACTTGTTCTGCTCATGTTGCCATTCCTACGCTACAGCTTTCACTTCCGGACGTAAAAAACTGTTCAAAACCAATTTATTCTTACAATTCATGAGACGACAAATCCGTACTCTCTGGCGTCTTTCCGTTTAGTATTGTCATTTTTCTTCATCTTCTTCTAATACCCTCTCTTCTCTTCTCTACTCTTACAAAAAAAGAAAAAGAAAAAGAAAGAAACAAACAGAGATAGAAAGGAAAAAAATATCTAGACAACTGTGCAGAGAAGAAGAACAACCCCAAGAAAGAGAAGCTAATACCTCCTAGTTCATAAATATCCCTTTTCTATTTTCTTCTTCCAGTGAGTCTCTCAAGTCATAACAAAGCTCAGTAGTCACTTCTCTCTACTTTGTTCAACATTTTTAAGGTCAGTGATAATATTCACTCTCATTTTCTTGTTTTTCCGTAATGTATTTGGTTTCCGAGAAAATGCGAGAAATTTGAAGGAAAGGAAATGTTTTACGTATGCGAAAATCATTTTGACACTTAACCAGAACTTAAAACAGCATTTCCAGTGTTTGTTTATCTCTCTAACTTTCCCACATTTTCTCGGCAACCAAACAGGTAAAATTCTTTGGTGTCTTTTCTCTGCAGTCTGGAATTTGCTGTAGATGTTTAATTTTTCTGGCTGCAATTATGTCTCTTTTGAAGTTCTCTGATCAGAACTCAGGTTTTATTTAAAAAATGAAATGTCTTTCTGTTATCTGATACTGGGGCTACGCTTTGATTTTCGAGCCCAAAAAGCTTGAATCTTTTCAGAATGCAGTTTTGTTTTGTCACTTCGAAGGACCCAAACAGGGGCTCAAAAGGAAAAGGCAATAATCGAATCTAATAAATGCTGAGCCATACACTTTTTCTTTCATTTTCCTCATTTCTCTATATTTGTTTTGCTTTTGTGTTTAACATTTATCATGTTTTTTAGCTGATTCTCTGCCTTTACCTTTAAGATCCATTTCTGTTGTCTGTTATTAAAGCCTGCATTGACTCCATGATTTATTGTTTTTTTCTTCAGAAAATATTATATTTAAAACATTTTCCCTGGAAAATATACTAATTAGTAATTACTGTTGCTTTTATAGTTTTCTCTCCAGACAAAATGAAAGCAGGTTTTCTTGAAAAGTTTTAAACATTCAAAATCTAACCAACTAACAAACCCCACAAATTAACATCAATGAAGCTTCCTAATTTCACGGCAAAATTTGAGGGGATAAACTTACATAATTACCCTTTTTGTTTTGTGCATCTTTATGATTAGTCCACCAGGGGTATTTGTGTAATTCTGTTCCTTCTGTAGGTCCATTGTGAGTATAATAATGTTTTCATGAGGTTAGTATGAGCCTGGTGATGGTAGCGTTGAATGGATAAAGGAAAGAGAGTGAAGATTGGCTTAGGTACTGTTTGGTAAGCAAATTGATAGTTGCATGTGTTATGCTCTATGACTTTTTACTGTGATTTTGTATGAATGGGTAGTCTTAGCCAGCAATATAATCTTTTGCCTTTATTGCTGCATATGTGATGATAAGAAGCAGGTGTTGCCCTTCATGATGCCATTTATTTTTCTTCGTGGACCAGTCACATTGGATTCTCTTGTCCCAACTTGTGATATTTTTCTGGTATATTACAGGTTTTGTGGGTCAGGGTGCATTGAAGTAGAGTAGTGAAACATCAAATAGCTCCATTTTTCAGTTGTGCCCATAAGGGTAGTTTCAAATTATGCAGACTCCAAAAGGAAGGTAATTCTCTTCTCTGCAGAGTCTTCCTTCCTTCTTTGTTGTCTAAGGTGTGCACAATAAATGCTTTTGAATTTTGTTGTTGAATGTTGATCCTTTATCTTATTTTCCCATCTTTTATGGTATGCTGGTTTAGTTAAATGCTAATGAAGTACAGTTGAGATCTCTGCTGTTAATGGTTGTAATGCGATGTAGTTATACAGTTTCATTTCCCTGCTAGTAAGGCATCTCTCTTTTAATGTTCTTGGGACACCTAAACCTTTCACGTCTGTGTTTGTGGTCTGTCTTATTTTTCCATTCTACTTTCACTATCAATCCACAATTTTATGTCCATTTTGCTGGTGACTGGTGAGGTCTCTGTATATTCATTGAATTATAATTTATTCCTTTGGCATGAAAACAAAGATTTTTGAACGTGTCTTTGTCTGTTGCATTAAGTTAGGACGGTGCTGGGGCATCTTAGTGGCCCTTAAAATATATAATTTCGTATTGTCAAGGGCTATCTCTTTGAATAGTTGTCGCTTTGTTACATGATGTGTTATTAAATTGACTGTAATCTTGTTTTCTAATTTATTCTTGTTAAATTTGAATCTAAAAGCTTAGCAACTCATTTTGGCAAATATTCACCATTGTCCAATACTGAGAGGTGAATATTATGCTTTCTTGATTTGTCTGGGTGTGAGATCATTTTTCTTGGAATTAAATGAGATTTCAAGAGTAAGATTTCGACACTGCAAAATCTGTTGTTATGTAATGCTTCGAAGTCAGAGCCGCAATTTCTTACTGTATTATTCAGAATAGTCCAAAAATGGTCGCAGACATGGTTAATACATCTATTTGGTCAAAGCTAGTCATTTCTCTTAAAGCAAAATTTTTAAAAGAACTGTTTGCTTTTACTTTAAAAGGCTAGCTTCAGAAGAAAAGAAATAGTTTTAAATCCAACCTAAAATGCCAACACTGGACATATGAAGAGGCTTGGTCTAGTTAAGATGCCTGAATTTTGGTGATTGAACCATTGAACTTGTTTGTTTCATGGATGCCTGAATTTTTATTTTGAGTTCAATTTTGTTATCCATGGCTACAAGTCCGTCTTCCTTTCATTCTTTCCTTTTCAAAAAAAAAAAAAAAAAAAAATTTGTTAGTTACTTCTTTTTTATTTCTAACACTTTTTATTTCATGATATCACCAGATAAAATGTGCTTCTGATTCCTATTTAATGTTCCTTGGATTTTATTAACAATCCTTGGTGTGCTAAGTGTTGCCTAAGGCACTGTTATAACTTTCTTAAGCTTGTATAAAAACACTTCAAATATATGTTTCAACTTAATGTTGATTCCCAAATCTTATTTGACTCTACCAGTAGATCAATTAGCTAGTCTTGGTTAAAGGGTGAGCAATACTCAGTTTTTAATCGGAAATCAAATCAAACCGACTCATTTGGTCAGATTCATATAGTTGTTTTAGAAATTAGTTACCGATCGGTTTGGATATGAAAAACAGTTTGGTTTTCGTGTACCATAAATAAATAACTGAATTTATTTGTAAACCAAAGTAACTAATTCGGTTCGGAATAACAGAATCCAAACTGAATCAATTTGGTTAGGATTGGTTTTATACTATTCACTTCTGGATTCGGTTACCATGAAAATATGTTCAGTTAGACCGAAACCGAGCTGATTCAGTTAGGTTAACATAATGCTCAACCCCCCTACCTGGTCCAGCCATCAGATAAAATACAAATTATCTGAATTAAATATAACTTATTAGACTAATGATTGATCCAAATCTCTGTGGGACATGAATATTTATACTAATACAAAGCTTATCTATTCATACTGTCTGATCCTCATGGAGAGCACTATAAGCTTATGCTGGATGATTTGTGAGTGGTGGCTTAGTCAAGGATCTGTAGAGTGTACCTAAATTAGTGTGCTTCTATCTACTTAGCTATATTTATATAATATATATATATTCACTTGTCATCTTCTATTTATCAATATATTGTTCCTGAAACAGTGGATATGAAAATTTTCCTAAGTTATTGCTTGTTGGTACAATTTAATTATGTATCTTGGTTGTAATTTGTGATTTTCATAGCAGAACTGGCTCCTTGGAAGCACCACAAAAGGTTCGTCCTCGAGCTGTACGCCAACTTAAAACAACTGGACTAGAGCCTGACTCTGCTTCTTCATCGAATCAAATTAGAACACCAAAAGAAAGAAGTCCTAACGTTATTGATCGTCGTTCACCCAGAAGCCCTGTGATCGAGGTGATCTATTAACTGCAACCCAACAGCTTTCTTGGAGTTCCATATAAACAATGTTGCACCACCTTGCAAAGAAAGTGTTTAGGATGGATTGCAGCCGAATCATAAACACTGTAGTATTTATAGTTAAAATGCACATAATCAGGATCACTATAGATGCATGTATTAGCATTCTAGTTTCCTTTCTACTGTGTGCTTTAGACAAAACATGGTAGTTTTAGGTTATGCTATTATTATTCTTGAGTTAGGTGCATTATATGATAAATTCTTCTTCTTCTTCTCTTTTTTCTTTTTTTACTTTTTGCGTACTGATGGAAAGACATCAGAATTCATAAAGACTATATCGCTGAGCTCTTGATGGTAGGCAATGAACTGATAACAATTTAGCAGTTTTAGTGATAGATATTTTGCAACTTGCACCGAGTTCTCACTGACTGGGTAATGTTAGTTTTTAGGTTTTGAGAACTGAGGAACAGGAAAAATTGGTAGATGATAAGTGATATTTTCTCTCAATATGGACAAATGCACATTTCCACCTGTATAAATTATTACTCTGCAAATTTTCTACTTGTAATGATTGTACATTTGGGGGTTTGCTTTTGTCATTCTTCATTGTCTCATGGTTGTCTTTTTCATGAACATTTAGCCTCCATGACTTAGTTATGTTTTTTTATGGTACAATGTAATGAAGATTATAGAAAGCTAAAACATGTCTTATGTCAAAGCTGGGGCTGTTGGATTTGCTGAAATGTTCTTACTAATCATCTTTGTTCTTCCTCCAGAAGAAGCGGCCTAGCAGAATATCCGAATTGGAATCTCAGATTACTCAGCTTCAGGAAGAACTCAAGAAGGCAAAGGACCAGCTAAGTTTATCAGAATCATGGAAGAAGGAAGCTTTACAAGAGGCTGAGGAATCGAAGAAACAACTTTCAGCTATATCTTCAGAGTTCAAAGAATCACAGAAGCAACTTCTTGAACTATCTGCTTCTGAGGAGGCTCGTGTTGTGGAGCTTCAAAAAGTCTCGCATGAAAGGGATAGAGCATGGCAGTCAGAGCTTGAGGCTATCCAGCAGCAGCACTCGATTGACTCTGCTGCCTTGGCCTCTGCCTTGAGTGAAATTCAACGGCTCAAGTTTCAACTTGAAATGATTGGTGAGTCAGAGGCTGCACAAAACAAGCAGACAGAATCAGCAGATGTGGAGCTTGAGACCTTGAGAGCAAATCTCGTGGACACTCTTTCTCTTGTGGAGAACATGAAAAACCAACTACAGGACAGCAAAGACTCTGAGGCCGAAGCCAAAGCACTGGCTAATGAAACTCTAGTTCAACTAGAAACTGCAAAGAAAACTGTTGAGGTGCTCAGATCGGATGGCACTAAAGCTATTGAAGCTTATAACTCCATTGCTTCAGAGTTAGACCAGTCAAAGGCACGTGTTAAGTTGTTGGAAGGACTTGTTAGCAAACTTGAGGTGAAACTGAGCAATTTTTCCTGCAAAGCTGCAGCTGATGATGGTAATGAAAAGGTCATCGTTGAAAACCAAATGTCAAAGGAAGTAAACCAGCTTGAAGCAGAGGTTTCTTCTTTGAAATGTGAAGTGCAACGATTGAGATCTGCTCTAGAAGCTGCTGAGACTAAATGCCATGAAGAACAAATTAACAGCACAGTGCAGATAAGAAATGCTTATGAACTAGTGGAGCAGATAAAGTCTGGGTCTGTTCTCAGAGAGACCGAGCTAGAGGCGGAACTGAAACAGGCGAAAGCTGATATTGAAGAATTGAAGGCAGACCTAATGGATAAGGAAACTGAATTGCAAGGAATTTCAGAGGAGAATGAAGGGCTGAATTTGAAACTAGAGAACAGCTTATCAGGCAAAGGAGAATCTGAACTAGAGAATGAACTCAAAAAGTTGAAGGAAAATGTTGCTGACTTGAATGCGAGTTTAGTGGATAAGGAGATGGAACTACAAAATATACTGGAGGAAAATGAGGTGTTGAAGGTGGAAACTAGTAAGAGGGAAATGAACAAGAATAAAGTGAGTAATGATGTGGTTGTAGAGCTAGAGACAGCAAGGGCTGCAGAGCAAGAAGCTCTAATGAAGCTTGGACTTGTGATGGAGGAGGCAGAGAGAAGTAATAAAAAAGTTGGAAGGGTAACTGAGCAGCTTGAGGCTGCACAGGCAGCTAATGCAGAAATGGAAGCAGAGTTGAGAAAGCTGAAGGTGCAATCTGATCAGTGGAGAAAGGCTGCGGAGGCAGCAGCCGCTATGCTTTCAGCGGGAAACAACGGGAAGTTAATGGAGAGAACCGGATCATTGGATAGCAGCTACAATCCTGTCACGGGAAGTATGGACTCACCTTACAATGATGACACGGATGATGATCTGATGAGGAAGAAAAATGGAAATATGCTGAAGAAGATAGGGGTCTTATGGAAGAGGCCACAGAAATAAAATATACCCGAGGAGGTAATTGTTTTAATTATATTGTCTAGTTAATACCAATTTTTTCTTCCAGTAACCATTCTTTTTGCTTCAGTTTGACAGATGGAGATTGAATTGATTGCAAGAGTTTAAATCATTTTCATGAAGCAGAAGTTAGCAATCCTTGTGAAGTTCTTATCTTTAACAACTTGGGGAAATGTTGGTTTGTTTTTCCCATCCCCATGAACATCAAAATATTGTGGTAGAGATTTTGCTGTTGATATATATTAAAATTGGCAGCTTTAGTTCACTTTTGAACCGTAGAGGACATGTATCAATTCAAGGAAAGGAAATAGCCAAACCTTAAACATATAATATTTAATATATAATGTATTTATCTGCGTTGTGATTATTATTTATGGCTACTTGATACTTCAGTACTCTTAATCTGGATACAAAAGCAAGCTTGGATTGGCGATTTGTCGAAGGCTTGACCCCCCACGTGATCTACTTGATGCGAATCAAGCTTGGAAATTGTCTATTTTATCAACGGTGATTAGGCCAGCCCAGCTCGCAGCCTAGCGTTTTGATTAATGAAATAATCTTTTCACTTGGGGCTGGATTCGGTTAATTCGTAGCCCAATTGGCCACACTGTGCCGCGCATAAAAAATTCTTAGCCAGCCTTTAGCGTTGTCAGCTTTAGCCGAATTGCCCACATTGTCTTACTCTGAGCTCCTAACTTGCATTTGGTATTGGTTTCAGAAGAAAACAAATTACATGTTGTAGATTATGTTTGTTATTTCTGCTTGTTGAGCCATTTTTAATGTTTTGGAAATATTATGAGTTCATGTTGTATCATCTAGTTAAAGTTTTAGGCAGGGCAGATGATATTAATTTAAACTAGAAAATATCTTTTAATTAAAAAATTAAAGTAATTGTATATTATTGTAAGTTGTAATACCCATGTTGCTATTATTTGTGTGGTTAAAATAATATGATATGAGCATAGTCTATGAATTAAAAATTCAATTAATAAGCAAGTTAAGATGAGTAGTTGTTTTTAGTGAATGAACAAGTACCGGATTTAAGGTCGCGTTTGATGACTATCAGCAGCGATTAGTTGTTAGCTGTTTTAATAGCTTTTCGTGAAACATTAAAAATTAAATGTTATATGAGTTAACTTTTTGTAAAATATTATTTTAACTTTTAAACACTATATTATTGAAGACCGTAAATAATATCATTTAATCAAAATACTAAAAAAATAATCGTGGAACACAGTCATATTAGCATGCACTGACCCGTCATTGTAGTTAATAAAGACTTGACAACTTGTAACTTACCCTCAAAATTTCAAAGGAACACTCAAAGACTGAAAAGATAGGAGTTGTCCTTCTCCACACTCCTTATTAAATTTTTATTATAAATTTTGACAAAAGAAAGGAATATAATCTTACTGGTCTGACAAAACTAATACTTGCTTATAAAAGGGTTTAGCAGAAGAAAATGATGCCTTTCTAATTTGTCTGAAGCCTGATGGATTATTATTACATAACTGCAGTTTTAATAGGAAGCCACAAAGTCAAATCTAAATTCCCACCAACAACATTTCTTTAATAACAAAACTTCAAATCAATTTGAAATTATATGTGTACAATAGTTTTGAAAATATCTGATAAGCTTCAATACTTTCTTTTCCCAATTATCCTTCTTTGATAAACCAAAACTCTTCTTTCACAGTTATGTCAGACTTTGTTGCAAAAGAATAATGGAAGAAAGAAAATTATAAGTAACTGTTAATTTTCATTACATAGTTATTTTTACATGATAATATATGAATTATATCCCAAATAAATAATTTATGAATTAATACATCTACTTACTAAAGAAAAAATTATGAATATAATTGATTTAAAGAAATTAATTTTTACATGATATACACTCATATTATTTTTCCCATAAATATTTTTCATTTTATCTATAATTTAACCTGAGAATCGAAGTATGATTGTGGGATGAAATTATAACGGCAGAAATTAAAATTTCACGTTATTATTATTATTAGAGAATCTTATCCAAGTCAGGTAGGCCTACCACGTTGGATAACCGTCAAGTCACAAGATGGAGATGAATTTTCCAGCCCAAATAGGCCCACAACAACAGTGTGGTCACTACAGAATGTATATAAATTTCATACCATTTTTTTATATATAAATATAATTCAGCAATAATAACATACAGTAGCATAAAACTTTACTATCTAATCGAATTTGCTGATAATTTTAATTAAAAATATTTATATTATTTTGAATAATAAGATTAAAAGATATAATATTAATTAAATCTTTCCGCTTTGAGATCATCTTAACAAAAGATATAAATTTTCATAGTAACAATTAGTCTATTAATTGGTTTGAATAATAAAATAAAAATTTCTTTCAATCTTTTATATCTAAATTGTTTTTATAATATATGACAAATACAAATGATTTTCCGCTGCTATACGTCAATAGCATCGATGGAGGAATATGTCGCACTACTATGTTCCATTGATCAAGGATTCACATCTGTAAATTAAGATCTAAAGTCTTTTCTCAAATAAAATCAAATATCATAATTTTTTTATACTGTACTTTTATTCAGTAATAAACTCTCGTAAAGAAGGGATCAAACCATTGGGACAATAAAAAAATCGAAATATAAAGAGACAAAACAACAATAATAATAAAAAAATCTGTTATTAAAATGAATAAAAGATTAAAAGCAAAAGAAATAGTAGAATGCGAAGAAAAATGATGAATTTCAAACTAATACTAAGGTTAAACTAAGGAAGAGAAAATAAAATTTTATAGCGAGTTGGTATTTAAGGTAGGTATCATCCTATATTAAGTTGCGAATTGGAGTTGAATCAAAATCAAATCGATTAAAATTGAAATTAAATTATGATTAATAATTTTTTATTTTGGTTTTCCTATTTTTGAAATCTAATGGTTTCGGTTAGACCATTCGTTTGAAATTATTAAAAAAAATAAAAAAAGGAAAACTGTGACATCAAATATTGAAAGATAAAGATTCTGAAATTATTTCAAACATCATTCAATTTTAATTTAATTATTTTTAATCGAAATCAAGAATTTCGAACTAAAACGTTTTCATATTTATTAGTGTGTTTATTAACATGTGATAGGCTCTTAATATTTAAAATTTTAAAATTCAAAAAGAAGGGAATAAAAATAAAAATAAAAATAAAAATCTTCAAATGAGTTGGATTAAACTACTAAATGGAATGACAAAATTTCCAACAGAACAGAAAAGTAGAGTGAAACATATAAATTATTTTACTAATCAAGAAAACAGAAGACTGACCAAATATAATTATAAAACACTGCCAAAGTTTTTGAACATCAAATTCTAAAATGTCAGTGTCAATTTAATTTTTTTTAATTAGTAATTTTTGACAGCTTAAAATTATATTTAAATGTCACTTCCTATTAATATTAATATTAAATTATATTATGGTCCAACAATTATATTATATGAACTATCGTATGAACAGGTCACTGACTGTCATTTCACGCCCAAATCTTAACTTAGATTTGGTCTGCTAAGAAAAAGAAAATCCATACCGAAAATGGTGCTCTTAGTCTTATAGTCATGCCTTTCACTGAATTTCTAAAGCTTAGGGACAATACAAGCCTACAAACAAGTCCATTTTTATAACTTTTAATTGGTTTTCTCTGTCAACTCCGTTAGTACCACGTGTCGATGCTTTTACATTGTTTTAACTTTTAAGTCCATTTATTTACAAATTATTATTCACATTAGACTTTATAAAAATAAAAAATATTGAACATTTTAATAATCAAATTTAAATATTTTCATGTACTAAAATATGATTCTTTTATCTTTAAATAACATTCACAAAATTATTAATAACATTTATGGTAGACTTTCTATATTTTCTACAAGAGATAGAAAAAACAACCAGACTACTAAAAATATAATTTAAATTTAAGAAAGGCTAAAGATTCAATTTATAACATAAATTTGAATATTTTTTAACTTGAAATTGCACTAAATTTGTTTAGAATAACTGTCTTAATGTTTTCTTATATTATCTTAATTTTAAATGATTGATGCAAGGTAAGTCGCTAAATTATTATTTAATTAATTTTTTATAATTAGAAAAGACAAAATTAGTGGAGATAAATAAACTTATTGCATATTATCTGAATAAAATAAACTAAAAGTATAAAAAGACGACTAAGTAAAATATAGAGTACTGAGATTATATTTAAATTAACACTTAGATTCTTCGACATTTGAGAAATAATTATGATATTCGCAACTATGTTATTTTTACTTTCGTTTCACTATTATATCATGTCTAAAAAGTAAGCTTTCTGTTGTTAATTAGACATTTTTTTAAAAACATATGCTCAAATGACAAGAGTTTATTTTTTAATCACAAGACTCGATAATGTATAAATTAAAAATATCATAATTACTTCTCTAGATTTAATGTTAAATATAATTTAAAATCTAGTTATATTTTAGCCGGGAGACAACCTAAGACGGCTTATTTGGTTGTAATAATTTGTGTACAAATACCTTAAACCAAGGTTTTTCAACAGAGGAGTATTAAATAGGTAGATTCTACCTGAAGCAATGATGGTGGAATGTCTTGAAAAACACGAAGTCATTACAAAGATGTGAAATCGTGGAAAATACCAACACTATCATCTTTCAATATTTCAGGTTCAGGGTATTCTGTTCAGACTTCAGACCCAAACAAAACCATGAAACATCACATTCATTTCTTTCACTCTTTTCTCCAAAATGGAACACATCTTATCCAACCTCAGCAACTTCCTTACTTGGTTACCAAACAAAATTCAAATTCCATTAGTATATAAACCATTAATAGAAAACTTCAAAAAATAAAATACAACAAAGAAATCAAAATATAATATATATATATAGAGAGAGAGAATTAATTCAGTTGAATTATATCTCTCTTCACAAAAAAAAAAAAAAAAAAAAAAAAAAAAAAAAAAAAAAAAAATTTCCAGGTTTAGGTATTCTGTTCAGACTCTCAACCCAAACAAAACATGAAACATCACATTCATTATCTTTTCACTCTTTTTCTCCAAAATGGAACCAACATCTTATCCAACCTTCAGCAACTTAACCTTACTTGTTACCAAACCAAAATTCAAATTTCAATTAGTATATACAACCAATGTTATATAGAAAAACCAAAAATAAAATACAACAAAGAAATCAAAATATAATTAATATGATATTAGAAAGAGAAGAGAATTAATTCAGTTGAAATCGTGATCATCTCTCTTCACAAAAAAAAAAAAAAAAAAAAAATAAAGAAGAAAAAAAGAAAAAAAAAACTCCTCCAAGAAAAAAAAAAAAAAAAAAAAAAAAAAAAAAAAAAGAAAAAAGAAAAATCTCAAGGGCCTAAAAAACTAATTTTGAGTCTAATAAATAAGAAATTAAAATTCTATTCTTTTTCATTTTTTTTGGGTTTTTTATCCCCTTACATCAAAGGACTATTAAGAAGTCCATGCCAATTAGTTGAACCAAACCCATTAATCCAGCTTTCTTTTCCTGAATCAAGATCACCATTTCCATTAAGCTGCCATGGAAATCCCCATAAAATCTTACTCGTTTGATCATCTTCTCTGTCACTGCACATTTCTTGCTTCATTGTTGTCACTGTCACAGCTTGTGTACCTGCACTGCTCATATCTTCATAAGGTATCATCATTTCTCCACTATTACCACAAACCCCACTATTTTCCACATCTCCCATATTACCATTTCCATACCCAAAATATAAATTTTGAAAATTATTATTATTATTTTGGGTATCAAGAAACCCAGTTCTCAAAGCTTCAAGAAAAGGAGCTGGAGGGTTTATAAGCATATCAGAATGGGTATTGTTGGGATTTCCCAAAATAGGCAAATCACGATCATCAAACCCTAATTGCCCATTTGACTGCTTTTGGAGTCTAGCAAAGGCAAGGGTTAGGTCATTAGAGTCATAAGTTAAAGAAGGGAGGGAGGTAAGTGGATTTGTGTTATTAGAATTCAATTGATGGTGATCTTGAGTCTTTTTTGATGATGATGATCTTTTGTTTTTCCTGCACCCTCCACCTACTGGAACATTTCTCAATGTGCCTCCTTTTGTCCAATACCTTCTACATGACTTGCAAAAGTACCTTGGTTGAGATAGGCTATAATTATTGTAGTAGCAAAATTTGGTGTTTGTGGAATCACATCTTGGACACTTTAGAGCTTGCTCTGGTTGAGGTCTTGGCTTCCTTTCTTGATGGGGTTTTGTGCAAACCAGCATGCTCTCTAGTGAATGTGAAGACATTTCCTGAATTTGCCCACAAAAAAAAAAAAAGGTTAATTACATAGCATCAAATAATTTAAAATTTTTTATATGTTGAAGAAAATTCAAATTTATATAAATTACTAATAATGACAATATCAAGTCATATATACACTTATAGCTTCGAATTTGAGGTGAAACCAATTTACCATAAATCTTTAATTCTTGAAAAAAATTTATTTAATAAAGACAGAACATATTTATGGAGTAAGAAAGTTTTAAATCTGAAATAAGATTAATCTGTATCTAAAAGATACTCATAGAAAAAAAAATTGAACATATTTATTATTGCAAGAAAAAGAAATCAACCACACTCTTTAAAGATCATATGATTGATGCTCTTCACTAAATTAAACAAGTTATCGTTAACCCGATTGCTAAAGGGAAACCAATTGTGCTTTCTTTTCACATACTTGCCTAGATAGAGTGCTCAAGGAATCTAGCTAAAATTGAGATGACCAATATATGTTATATAGTATACAAAAAAAGCCTAAAATGGCATAACAAAATTTTCTTGAAACCAAATAATTTCATTAAAACCCCTCAACCACTCTACATATTCTCTCAAGAAACCAAAAATCAAAAATTTTTAAAAAAATATGTTAAAATTGATAATCCTTTAGTGAGTTCACATTCAGAAACCCAAAATCTATATATCATCAAACTCGCTTTCTTCTCAAAGGAAAAAAGAGAAGAAAACCAAATTTCTTGTACTCCAGTACCCAACCCACTTACATCCCCAAATGAATGTATAATTTGTAAGTGAAGACCCAATAGAAAGTAAAAACTCATGAAGACCAATCACTGAATTAATTATCAAAAAGAAAGAAAGGTAAAGTGTGTAGTTCTGAATCAAAACCCTACCTGGTGTTGTCCACTTGAAGGATCCATCCATGCAAGAACGAATAGAACCTCTTAATTGATTGGTTTCTTGAAAGATATGTATCTATATGTGTAGTAAAGAAAACAGAACGAGAGAGAAAGAGAGAGGTGTGTAGAGATATCTGGAGAGAAAGGGAAAGGGAAAGAGAGAGAGAGCATGCAAAAGTGAAGAAACAAGAGAAGCCCTCTAAATATATAAAGCAGGAGCCGAGAGAGAGAGAGAGAGAGAGAGAGAGAGAGAGAGGTAATAATGAAATTGCCGTACAAAATGATCAAAGTTTGTTATGTAAGCTTGCACGCATAGAAAGCAAAATACAAAATTTCACTTATTAAAGAAAAGAGAGAACACAGTCACATTTGATTTTTTTCTTGTTAAAATCTGTTTCTGTCTGAAACAGATTCTCTTTATTATTTTATATTCACAGAGAAAGGCTGCCTGGCCCCACCACCTCTAGGTCCCCTTGATGGGTCCCTCTACCGCGTGGATGCAACTATATGCATGGACCCCACACACCTTCGTGGTCCCCACCCACCACTACCACCATCACCATGCACCTTCTTCCATATGATCTGTATAAGTATAACCTAGCAAGCTAGACACTGCTTACTCCTCAATGGTCCACACTTGTATAATATTCTATTCCAATATTCATCGCCAAAACCTCTGCGATTTTTTTATTTTTTTTCAATTGAAACATTATGCTATTGCAACCTTTAACAAATTTAATTAACTATTGCAGTTTAATTATTTATACTTCAATAAATTTATTTTCTGTAGATTATTTGTTTTAAAAATATATAGTAATTATAATACATCTATCTATTATATAAAACCACAACCTTATACCTTTCTTATGAAGCACACGTCAACATAAATTAAATGCAATTGGTTTTCATTTGATTTTACATTTGGTTTTAAGTTTAATTTTACATTTTTAATTAATTATTATTAATAACTAGGTAAAGAACTGCACATTGCGCGGGTTATATTTTGTTATATATTATACTTTTAACTTTTAATTTAATTTATAATTTATAAGTTATTTAGTATATATAGTTTCATAGTCTATATAGACTTTTCAAAATTTAGAAAATTAAAAATGGTGGCTTGAACAAAATATAAGTTGATATATATATAGAAGAAAAGAAAAATATAGTTTCATAGTCCTATAAGACTTTTCAAATTTAGAAAATTAAAAATGGCTGGCTTGAAAACAAAATTATAAGTTGATTATATATAGCAAGAAAAGGCAATAATATATGTATATATTATATAGTATTATATACATATATATATAATTAGTTACTATTATAGATTAATATATACAATATATACATAAAATTTCACTTTATAAAAAGATAAAATATCTTGATTAAGTCAATCATAAAATAAATGGATTAAGTAAAAAAAAATTCAAAAATTAAGATATAGATAGATACTTATTTCAAATAAATAATAATGGCTTATGATTGATTTCTAATAATGTAGATAATAAAATTAAAATTTCAAATTATTAGGCATTTAATTTCAACGAGATTAAATAAACTCCTTATATATAAATACAAGTTATACTCATTTTATAAAATGATTCTAGAAAATTTGATGAAGATTTAAAATTGTAATATTATTTAAAAATTATTAAATTATTTTATTCAATATAAATTTAAAAGTATTGTATTTAGTAATAAGAGCTAAAATTTTTAACTTAGAATATTGAATGATATTATTAAATATCCCTTAATTACTTATAGGTCTTGAACTTATTTTTTACTAACACATTTAGTTAAGAGTATGTTATGACTTCACATAAGAGTTCAAACTAATTCATTTAATTTAAATTTGACAATTAATTAATATAATTAGTTTTATATAAATAAAAAATATTTCAAAAAATTAGACCACCAAAACATATTAAATTAAAATATTATCATAAAATAAAATTAATAAATTTAAGGTGTTAGAAATACAAACATCGATTTATGATGAAATTATAACTATTTAAAAGTGAAAAATTTTATGCTTAGGCAAAAAATATATATTACTTTTATTAAAAATTTATATCATATAGCGTTTTTTTTTTCTTAAAAAAAAAAAAGTAGATAACTAATTACTAGAGACTAGACTGTTTTTTTGGCAAAAATGAAAAAATGAGCTACACAGAAGTAATGTTTTTTCCATTTTGACAGATGCCCTCATCTTATTGAAACTTCAATTTTAAGACTTCTCAGTATAAATATCAAATTTTAACAAATGAAAATGTCCTTTTGTGGAAAGCTGATGTATATATATTTATATTCAATGCATTTAATAAGTTAATCTATTATTATAGAATAAGAACAAAATTTGTCATATTTAATATTTATTTATGTAAATAATATATTCACTTTATTGTTATTTTTTAAACAATTTTTTTTAAACTATCGGTATCCGGCAATATTACTAGGGACTGTATAATCTAGTTCGGAGTTTAATTGCAGTTAAAATTTAATACTAGATCAAACTTGGAGTTTAATTATAATTAAGACTTGATATTAGACTGTTTTTTGGTCAATGTGAAAAAATGAGCCACATAGAAGTGATGTTTTTTCCATTTTGACAGATGCCCCTATCATATTGAATCTTCAATTTTAAGACTTCTCAATATAAATATCAAATTTTAACAATTGAAAATGTCCTTTTGGAGAAAGCTAATATATATATATATATAATACAATAGAACAAAATTTATCATATTTATCTTATTTATTTATTTATTTACTGTAAATAATATATGAAAAAATTATAGTACGATCCTTGTGGTTTGTGAAATACAATTAATCATTCTGTGTTTTGTTTTAGATATATTAATTTGTCCTTATATTTTGCTTCTGTTTTGTTTTAGGTCCTTCTGTCCAATTTTTACTTCTTTTCCGTTAAATCAACAAGAAAACACTGAGGTCAAAGAAGAAATACGAAAATATTATACTAGAAAAATTATAATGTAGTCTGTTTGAAAAAACAATTAGTTTATCCATGTGTTTTTCAAAATAAAAGGGACATTTTTATCATTTCATAAAGTATTTAACAGAAAAAATGTAAAAATTGAATAAAAACCTTACGAATTAATTATAAAGACATCTTACTCTATTTTCTAAAAGACAAAGACGAATTAGTTGTATTTTATAAACCACAAGAATCATATCGTAATTTTTTCATAATATATTCATTTTATTGTTATTTTTGTAGGGAAAAAGTAATAAAAACAGGGAATTTTAAATGAAAGTGATTATATTTTAATATCTATTGATTTACTCTACAATACATAATTTTATTTGCCCCACCAACACACATCCTAGACTATATTGCATCTATTAATCTCTCTCTCTCTCTCTCTTTTTGTTTTTTTTTTTTTTTGGATAAATTTTAGCACAGGCAAATAGATGAGACTATAGGTAGGTATAAACCTCGAGTTCCAAGAAATACCAAAAAGCTTCCTAGAATAAAATAAAAAAAAAATAAAAAATCTGGAAACACAAAGATTTTGGTCCAAGAAAGGAAGTAGCAGACTGGGTTTATTTTGGACTGATATGAGGGGCCCAGTGAGTAACCCAAGTGTTTATGACATGAATTGATTGATTGATTGATTGATAACATAAAAATACAGGTATAGTGATTCTGATTTAAATAGTTGTTGGCGGTGTGAGTGTTTCTGTGATTGTATTGAAGGGTTACAGTGATGTGGACTTATAATAAGTAATAATGATAGTGACACTAATATACACGAAGGAAGAGGAAGACGAAGACGAAGAAGAAGAAGAGCAAGAAAATGATCTTTCTTTTATAATTTCACCTCACCTTCTTTCAGTTTCTTTCTTGGTTATTTATTGGAAATAATGGCATAGCCCATCATGGAATTTGTATTTTCTCTGCTTTGGTTATGGATGGATATGAGTGTGGCCTTAGTGGTCCATGTCACAACATTTCCACTGTCTAGTCAAGCTCAGAAAATCTTCCATAGTTTGTTGGCATCAAAACGAACGTTAACAATTTCGATACTCAGTAAAATCAATAATTTAATTTTTAAATTGAATAAATATTTATTGAGAGTATTTTATTTTTCATGAAGTTAAATATTTCATTGAAGATTTATTTGTAATCCAATATGTAAGAATTAAATAAAAAAGATAAATCTCTTGTGATACATTGGATCCAGCTCAGTTATTAATAGAGTGAATGATTTAACAGTTTTGAAAATCTCTCTTTTAATTCAAAATCGCAGTGTAACGTGTATACCCGTTTCGATCAGATGAAATAAATAAAAAAAATATATTTTTGTTCAAGAAAGAAATTTTATTAAAAAGGAGAATTGAACTTTGAGTTCTTTTTTTTTTTTTTTTTTTTTTGAAACTTTGAGTTCTTTTTTTTTTTTTTTTTTTTTTTTTGAAAGAAAAATTATATTGCAACTAGAAATTTCTCTTGATTTAGTTCCTTGAATATAAAGATTGACTCTAGCATCCCTTTCATCCTAATTTTTTTTTTTTTTTTTTTTTTTTGAAAGAAAAATTATATTGCAACTAGAATTTCTTGATTTAGCTTCCTTGAAATATAAAGATTGACTCTAGCAATCCCTTTCATTCCTAATTTGAGCTAAATAATTATATTTCCATGGCTAGAAAAAATTAGTTTTTATCAGAATTAAATGCATATATTAAAATATGTAGCATGAATGTCAAAAATAACATTTGTGCCATCCTATCACCACTAGACTGACTCCACTAAATCACTTTGAATAGTATGAATGAATAATTAGGACTCAAATGTATGCCTACAACTATTACTTTTCTGAAATTCTAAAATTGTCTACTCTTTTTTCATTTATGTCATTCTTCACCACAAATAATATGTATACCTTTTTTTTTTTTCAATATGATCCTACCAAATATGTGCTTCTATGCAATCTCAATCCTTAACTAAGTTAAAAGAGTCCGAAAGACAATGACGAAGTTATAATTTTTCATTTTCTCTCTATTTTAAATTATTTTGTATGTCCTGAAATTCGAACTCGAGAGTTACTGATTTTTTTTTCTCTCCTCTGTAATTGTTTGATATCATTTGTGTATAGATAATCAATAATAAAAAGAACAGATCTTGCTAGTTGAACAAAGTGCTCTTAGGAGTTATAATTAAGAAATCATATCATGTTGGGATGAGCACAAATTGTATGCAAATATATATTTTAAACCTAACATATAATGGGCTAGTTGTTAATTATATAATAATTCCTTAACATAGGCTCTTTGACAAGTGACTTCTTTTGTCCTCTATTAACCGTACGTTTTTAATCTTTATT